CAAAATATATTATTTTTCACTATATAACATATTTATTATTATTTATCATAAAAATTCAAATTTTTTGGGTTTTACAATTAGGATCATTTTTATGTAGTTTTGGACAATCTATTAGTATCATTGCCAATAACCCCTTAGTCATCATCCAAATCTTCATACGTTTTTACCAACGTTTGAAGAACTAACCTACGAATTTTTCTGGCATCCCAGACATATCCATTTTAGGAGCAAGGGCACCAGAACCAACTCCTAAAACAGAAGACATAACTCCATATGATGATAATCTCTTTAAGATAGTTGGGAAAAACAAGAATAAAAACAGAATCAAAGAAACACAGAATAATCCACACAGGAATGCAAGTAAAAACCAGAATGTTAATAAAAACATATTAGACAAATTTTAAGTACGAAATACTTTACAGAAGTGCTGAATCGCCATCTAAATAGAGGACTGGACTTGAAGAAATTATGCCCCACCTATGGTAGCATTGGGTTTGCACAATACTTTTGATGATGAGACTGCTGCAGTCCAAAGAAGTGCTCTCTTCTGTTGAACACCTCGACTACCACTTCAGTTCGCCAATAACTTCAACACTTAATAGTCTAAAGAATTGTAAAAGAAGAAGACAAGAGGACAATTTTTTCTGTCTATATGTTCAAATGAACAGAGGAGGCTCTTTTAAAGGGTTCATCACAAACAAATATTTGAATTCTAGTTATTGTAACGTTTGTAACTTCTGCAAATAATATAAGAGCACGTGGCAGTGCACACGTTGGACCACGTGCCCGAACCGTACACACGGGACACCCATGACCCCGCATGCACGACCCCACACGCTCGTGCTCACACGCACATGCCCGTTCGCTTGCTCGCACGCTCACTTATGAGCCAACACAAGTATACAATACTAACATCTTTGTTATACCATATATGTACGTTAATTTGAACCAACTAAAACGCATTCAATTAGCCAATTAATGTGGGACTAAAACTCTCAAACTATTTATTAAATACATTTTAATTTTCATCTATGGAATCTAACCATATAAATGATATCTTTTCATAAAACCCTCTAATATTCATTTAGGGGGTGTTTGGTAATCTGAAAGTAAATTTAAAATATGTAAGTTACTTTTTTTGCAAATGATTTTTACATCCATGTCAGCACGCAAGTGAAATACAGTGTTTGTTTGAATAATTAAATTATTATCGAAAGTGCAATGTGAAGATGACGTGGCAAAATAAGATTAATTAGAAAGTATAATTGTGAAGATGACGTGGCAAAATAAGATTAATTAGAAAGTATAATTAAAATCATTTAATTAAATTAGTTACCTTTTTGATGACGTGGCAAAATAAGATTAATTAGAAAGTATAATTAAAATCATTTAATTAAATTAGTTACCTTTTTGTCACTTTCATGTGATTTTACCACTTTTTTAGGGGAAGTCAAAATTGTATTAAATCATATGTGGTAACTTTCTTGCATCTCACTTCTATAACCACTTACATGAAAATAAACACCTTAATTGTTAAATGAAAGTAACCTTCTCACTTTCATCTTTCACTTCCATGCAAACAAACACACCCTTATATCAACAAGGATTACGCTCGCAACTGATAGAGGAGATAACCCTCGTGGTAGAGAGAGTAGCGTCATGGGAGATTGGAAGGCATCCGTGATTTGCATGACAATCGCAGTTAAAAGAGGATTTTCTTTTTTCTTCTTACTAATGAAGGTGAAAGGCAAAAGGATTCTTTTTGATTTGTGATTCCCTGTAAAGAGAGAAGTAAATCTGTCATATTTATCCTTTTCTGGTTATTTTTTAGTCTTATTCCCAAGATTACCCTTGCTTTAGTAAATTAAAAAGATTCAGAGCAAAGACTGTCTCGCTGGCGAGGCAGCAAAGACTGTCTCGCTGGCGAGGCAGCAAAGACTGTCTCGCTGGCGAGGCAGCAAAGACTGTCTCGCTGGCGAGGCAGCAAAGACTGTCTCGCTGGCGAGGCAGCAAAGACTGTCTCGCTGGCGAGGCAGCAAAGACTGTCTCGCTGGCGAGGCAGCAAAGACTGTCTCGCTGGCGAGGCAGCAAAGACTGTCTCGCTGGCGAGGCAGCAAAGACTGTCTCGCTGGCGAGGCAGCAAAGACTGTCTCGCTGGCGAGGCAGCAAAGACTGTCTCGCTGGCGAGGCAGCAAAGACTGTCTCGCTGGCGAGGCAGCAAAGACTGTCTCGCTGGCGAGGCAGCAAAGACTGTCTCGCTGGCGAGGCAGCAAAGACTGTCTCGCTGGCGAGGCAGCAAAGACTGTCTCGCTGGCGAGGCAGCAAAGACTGTCTCGCTGGCGAGGCAGCAAAGACTGTCTCGCTGGCGAGGCAGCAAAGACTGTCTCGCTGGCGAGGCAGCAAAGACTGTCTCGCTGGCGAGGCAGCAAAGACTGTCTCGCTGGCGAGGCAGCAAAGACTGTCTCGCTGGCGAGGCAGCAAAGACTGTCTCGCTGGCGAGGCAGCAAAGACTGTCTCGCTGGCGAGGCAGCAAAGACTGTCTCGCTGGCGAGGCAGCAAAGACTGTCTCGCTGGCGAGGCAGCAAAGACTGTCTCGCTGGCGAGGCAGCAAAGACTGTCTCGCTGGCGAGGCAGCAAAGACTGCCTCGCTGGCGAGGCAGCAAAGACTGCCTCGCTGGCGAGGCAGCAAAGACTGTCTCGCTGGCGAGGCAGTTCATACTTGTTTTGATTTTTTTCCAAAACAGTATGAAATCCTTTCTTGTGAATTTTTGAATGATCTTCTCTATGCTTGGGATATCTATTAGCATTTTTTGACGCCTACAACGTGCTATAAGGAATAGCACCGCCTAAATATTGTATAACATACCCCATGAGATCGTCCATCGAGTTCGCCGTCAGCGCAACTCTAGTCATCTCATTAGTCACCTGAATATGCAGCTCCGGGTCAATTTTGTCAATCAGATACGCAGAGATACGTGCGACAAATGGCATAGCCTGGAAACTGCTTGTGGCTGCTCTATGCGATGTAGATGGTGTGGAGGATGTTGTGGACGATCTAATGCTTATACCGGGTGAAGCTCCGACACCATGCAGAGGATATCTTCCTCTCCTATTATTAGGGAGAAATAAATATTAAACTTTGCTCTCAAATTCAATAATGGTAAACAAATATAAATAGTATGTAGTATTCAAATTGATTCGATTTTTCACCATCCTTACCTATTATGACCCATCAGGTTCTGTGTGAGATTGATGTTCTCCTCTGCAGAAAGCATGTGAGGGTCTGGCTCGGTTTGTTCCTCCTCCTGCGAAATGTAGACAGATGCAGCCTCCTTGGATGCGTTCTCAAATCCCTCCTAAAGCGCAAATTTATAGTTAATTCAAGATAATGACCATATTATTTGTGTTCTCGTTTCCTCGTAATGTTAACAAAATAGAATTAATAATACTACTCAAGATATGTATAAGTCTCACCACTAACTCGAGATTTGCCGTGATCTTATCCCGATTCCTCTCATCACCCCTATATTGTTCACGAAAAGTACCATATGCCGCTCTGGCCCTCAAGTGTATCGGCATTAATGATTTCCCCTGTCATATTATAAATTATGAGATTTCATAATCATACTAAACATTAAGATCTTTTAAATCTTTAAATGACATATACCGTATCTTGACAATAAACATCCTCCAGATTGGCGTAGGAGTGTGAGCCCAAGTGATGGTCATGCAGCTTCTTTCTTCTATTTTCTGACCCCTTCGTGGATTTATTCTTTAAAAAAATTCTGTAAATATAAAATGAAATAATATCTTAAAATTATAAACTAAATTTCATGAAACTAACCTTGGCGGCATCGCTGTCCCAATACATGAGGAGAGCCGTGAAATGAATCTCGTCAACTCGGTCATCGAGGTTTAAAAACCTCTGCCAGTCCTCCTCATACCTGTCATAGGTTTCATGTTTGATCTCATGCCTCCATTGTTTGAGGACTGCTTCAACCTTGACATTAAACACATAATTCCAAGCCCCCTCAAAGTCCTCAAGGCAGAAGCAGTCCTGTAGATTTACATACACATTTAGTAAGGATAATTTAATATCAATTACTAATTATTAATAAATGAAAATCTAAAACAATATGCACTTACCATAAGCGCAGTCCATATCGCCTCGTATGCGGTCCATGGTAATTCTCGAAAATGAAAATAAGGGTTGATAATGGTCGCTCTACGCACGAGAACCCCAATATATGCATTCAATCGGGTTGACCAAGGACCAACGGGCAAATTAGAACTATTCCACCTAATAATGCCCCTCATTCCTCTTGGCGGTTGTTTAGAATCAGGCTTACCTCCGCCACGTCGTCCCTCTATGCGATCCTTCTTAGCACCTACAATAATGACAACATGATAATATATCATATAATATACAAATGTGAAAATTAAAAGTATTTATATAATTTACCATTCGCTATCTCTCTTTCTTTTGCTGCGAGTGCAACAGCTTTCCTAGTCTCCAACATAGGAAGCATTTCCTGTAACTTTCTCGCAGCACGTGGGTGGTACTTCCTTGATTCAGCCTTGGACTTATGAGAGTCCGGAGGTAAAGGTAAACTGAGAAAGTCCTGGGTCTTTGGCCGCAAATTAGTATGGAATGTATATGATGGATATGTCGGGGTCCAAGTAGCACCTACATAAGAAAGAAGAATCATTAATATTAAATTTTAATTGAACATTATCAATTATTAAATATTTAATACCTGCGTCGGGGGATGGTTCTGGTGTTGCATCAGAGGGGCCGGGGGATGGTTCTGGTGCTGCATCAGAGGGGCCGGGTGATGAATATCCAGCATCTACAACAAATGAACACTATGAGCTAGATAACTAAAAATTTATAAAACATGTTAAAGTATTAATTAATTTTTATACCTGCATCCGGAGATGGTAGTGGATCATCAGCACCACTACCTGGGGTGATACTCCGTGATCGATCACCCTCCGGTTCAAAGAGCCTCCTCATCCTCCTCCTCATCTACAAATAATAATAAAGACAATCGTTAAAAAAAATTGTATACATGCTCATGAGATATGTTGTTATGAAATGCATTATTGTTTTTATTATGATAAGATAAAAATCGATAATGTGGTGTAACATATATAGTTCATACCTACATCCAGCGCCACATTCTGTGCGTAAGAGAATTCTTGCCAAATATCATCAGACAATTGGTTCACTATAATTATATTCACTTTCTTCAATATTTTTTTCATTGTTATTAGGTAGAACAACAGATCTTGGCTCCTTGTACAAAACCACCCAATCATACATGACATTCGGATCTTTCACATAGAAGCACTGATCAGCTTGTTTTGCGAAAATGAATTTCTCATCCGTATATACTTCTCGGTGAAGATTGACTAGTGTAAATCCATAATGATCCTTTTGCTTTTTTGCAGGACACCACCGAACCTTGAACATCATGTAAGTACATTGTTTTGGTTTACCAAAGCCGTAAATTATGACTCAAGGGCAACCACCTTCGATTAAACCAATAACAACTCTTTCGGCTATGTGGTAATTGAATAGCTTCAAATTCTGGACCACATACAGGACAAGCACACTTACCCTTCGTAGAGTACCCTGACAGATTAGCATAAGCTGGAAAATCATTAATCGTCCATAGTAGAATAGCACGTAATCTAAACGACTCTTTTAAATGGGCATCATATGCTAAAATACCCTCAGACCATAATTGTTTTAGCTCATCAATTAGAGGCTCTAAGTAGACATCAATATCATTTCCCGGAGCATGCTTACCGGGTATCAGTAATGAAAGTATCATAAACGGCTGTTTCATACAAAGCAATGGAGGTAAATTATATGGCATTAATACAACTGGCCACGTAGACCAGCCAGAGCTCATTACCCCAAATGGATTGAATCCGTCACTTGACAGACCCAGTCTTACATTTCTGCAATCTTCGGCAAATCGAGGATAAATTTTATCAACATGCTTCCAAGCTACCGCATCAGCAGGATGTCTCAATTTACCATCATCTACTCGATCTTCCTTGTGCCACCTCATATTTTTCGCCGTTTCTTTGTTCATGTACAATCTTCGCAATCTAGGAGCTAATGGAAAATGTCGAAGCACCTTGGCTGGAATTTTCTTCTGTGTTATCTCTGTCTCCGTTGTAATCCTTATTGAAGAATTTGTACGTTGTTTCCACCTAGAAACTCCACATGTCGGACATTCTTGAAGGTCTTTATTGGCCTTGTGGTACAAAATACAATCATTCGGACATGCATCAATCTTATTATAATCAAGACCCAGAGCAGAGACAATCTTCTCAGCTTGATAAGTTGTTTGGGGTATGCTATTCACTCCTCCAGGTATTACAGTTCGAAGCAAATCAAGAAGCATTTCAAAATAATTATCTGACATACCGCTAAGTGTCTTAATGTGTAGGAGTTTTAGCATAAATGAAAATCTGGAGTACTCGGTACATCCCTCATATAAGTCCTTTTCACTATCTTCTAGTAGCTTCAATATTCGTTCTATTTCTGCGGAGGAATGCATATCATCAATATTTTCGGCACTTCCATCATCTCCTACTTCTTCAGCTTCAACATCGATATCATCTTCACTTTTATCTCCGATATCATCCTCGACATTATCATCACCCTCAAATTCTCTAGGTCGAGGAAAAATATCATTCAACATTGTTTCTGTGTCATCTATTCGTTGTCCACCGGACGTACCGACACGCACATTTGGATCCTCATCTTCAGTGATACCTTCCCCATGCCAGTTCCAATATTTATATTTTTCATCAAAACCTGATTTCATTAGGTGGATCCGTATATCATTACTATTCAGCAATTTCAAATTCCTACACATGCAACAAGGACAATACATAGCACCACTTGCTAATTTTCTCGGATTCATTTCTGCATAACGTATGAAGGCTTCACATCCCTCCTTGTATCGTGTGTCACGAAATCTATGAAGCCGTGGGATATCTATCCATGATTTGTCAGGAATTACCCTCATCTGTAAATTATATATAATTATTAACTACGACAAATCACACAACTACTAGTACATTCATGACTCTTATACATACAAAACAAATCTAACATACGTTCATATATCATTTAACAATATAAATTTAGTTCTACATAAAATATATTTGAAACGTACGTAGAAACTAATTACACCAATTGATCGGCTGTCATAGGAAGGCTTCTATCCATTAAGAATATAGTAGTGCTTACATCCAACTTCATATACTTTGTATATTTTCATTTCTTGAAAATTTCGGCAGCACCTACCCGCTGTTCTCCCTGTACACTGTGCGGATGTTATTATGCGTATCAGCAATAGCCCGAAACGCAGAACAACATACGCTTATTGTACACGGAGAACAACGAATACGTGCTGCCAAAACTTTCAAGAATGAAAATATACAAAGTATACAAAGTTGGATGTATGCACTACTATATTCCTAACCCGTCCGAGAAGGACAGATCCAATAATTACGAATTTCAGTACCAATTTTTTATTCCTATAATATAAAATAAACGCTCATTTTTGGAAGAAAACTTCGTCTCCTACCCAAATCTGAGTCGTATATCATATATTATAAGTCCAAATAATTGGATGTAATTATTGGACGGAAGTCTAGGGATAACGTTATTTTTTTATTCACCTAAATTGGATTATAACACATTATAAAAATTTATAATGTGTTATATATCACTCTATTTTTTACAAAAAATTATTTCACATATTTTCACATCACAAACTTAAATAATCACACATACTTATAGCACGAATGAAACTTAAATGAGTTAGGGTTTATAAGTGTTTAAAACTCAATAATGATAACTAGTGTTGTTCAAATGAATTAACATGTATTTAATTAAGTTAGGATTTTCAGAATTGAACTCGTTTATTTTTCAACATAATTAGGGTTTTTAACCAAATTCAACAATAATTAATAATAAAATTGAAATTTCTAAAGCTCAGTAGAAAAATCATACCTTTTAAACTGATTTCCGCAACGGACACCGCCGAAGGAGGGGGGGTCGGGAGGTTCCGGAGGAGGGGGGGTCGGGAGGGG